TTTTCGTGGTTCGTGCTTCGTCGTCGTCCCCCTGGCTGTGGCCCGCTTCCCCTCGCCCCCTCGCCCCCGTCCCCCTGGCTGTGACCCGCTTCCCCTCGCCTCCTCGTCACAACCCAGACCTCTGCAGTGGCCCCTGGTCCGAGCCTCAGCCCTCTGGCCCTAGCTGAACTCAGCCTGTCCCCGGCCTTGGCCCCACTCGCCCCGACCCTGGCTTTCAACCCTCCTCGCCCCGGATCCTGTATTTTCGTGGTTCGTGGTTCGTCGTCGTCCCCCTGGCTCTGGCCCCCGATCCGAGCCCCAGTCCTCCTGCCCTGGCCCTGGACCCAGCCTCCCCCCTTGGCTCTTGCCCCCGCTGGCCTCAGCTCCTCTCGCCCCAGACGCTTGATTCTCTTGCACAGCCGTGTTCTAACCTCTTTATTCTCTTGCACAGCTGTGCTCTAGAGCTCGGACATCTTTATTTTCGTCGTTCGTCGTGTCGTTCGTCCCCCTCGCCCCCCCCCTGTCCACGCTTCCCAGGGTAACCCCTCGCCCCCCCCCCCCCCGACCCCCACCTTGCCCCTCGCCCCCCCCCCTGTCCACGCTTCCCAGGGTAGCCCCCCTGGGCCACGGAACCTTTTATTTTCGTCGTTCGTCGTGTCGTTCGTCCCCCTCGCCCCCCCCCCCTGTCCACGCTTCCCAGGGTAGCCCCCCTGGGCCACGGAACCCTTTATTTTCGTCGTTCGTCGTGTCGTTCGTCCCCCTCGCCCCCCCCCCTGTCCACGCTTCCCAGGGTAGCCCCCCTGGGCCACGGAACCCTTTATTTTCGTCGTTCGTCGTGTCGTTCGTCCCCCCGTCCTCCCCCCCTGTCCAGATCCCAGGGTAGCGCCTGGGGGCCACTTTTATTTTCGTTTTGTCGTTCGTGTCGTGTCGTTCGTCCTTCCCCCTGCCCTCCCCCCTCTGCCCCCCCCCGCCCAGGCTTCCCAGGGCAGCCCCCCTGAGCCTCGGACACCTTTGTGCAAGAGCCAGGGCACGCGTGCCACTTGTTTTCGTGGTTCGTAGTTCGTCCTCCTCCCCTGGTTCGTCCTCTTCCCCTAGCCTCCCCCCTGGCTTCCTGGCTCCCTGGGGCCTCCCAGGGCAGCTCCCCTGGGTCGCGGCACCCTTTATGTTGGTGGTTCGTGGCTCGTCCTCCTCCCCCCGTCCTTCGTTGTCTGACTGTGCAAGAGCCAGGGCACGCGTGCCACTTGTTTTCGTCGTCATCGTTCGTTCGTTCGTCGTTCGTCCTCCCCCCTCCCTCCCCGGCCACAGAAGGAAACTCTTGGAGGAAGGATGCGAAAGTCTCCTGTCCCTCGCAGCTCCTTCGCGCAAGGGCCACGGCACGCGTGCCACTTGTTGCCAGCACGTGCTTCGAATCCTTGCTAGTTGACAGGCTGGGCCAGCTTCCTTTGCACAGCTGCCGGCCAGGCAGCGTCGCAGCGAGCTGCTGGAGGTTGCAGCAGCTTGTCCCGGCACTGCGTTCCTGCTCTTTCCCATCACGTGGGCAGCAAGCGTCTGCGCAGCTCCTGCGCACCGCTTCCGAGGCTCCTTCCCAGCTTGCACAGAGCGTTGGGGGGGACGCTTAATTAGGCAGCGCTTCCTCGCTGTGCCCGCGGCGCCTCGGAACGCCCGTTGCGAAACAATTGCAGCGCCTGGATCTCGGGGCTCTCTTCGTTGAGCATAATACCACCCTAACCCCCAATAACACAGCGCATCATTAAGGAGACTACATCCCTAGCCCGAATAACACAGTGAGTGAGTGGCCTAACTGAATCCACGGTTCTTAGGCGAGTCCCTAAACATATGGGCGGTTTCGTCTGGCGCGTCTGCAACGAATCACACCCCTTATCTCTAATGTGTGTCGCCCTCCTAATCCTCGGAAGGGACCCCTCCCACAGGATTACAGTGGAGGCCCATGCCAAGAAGCACCCTGCTTGCCTCCAGGGTGCCCTGGGTTTCTTGGGTGTCGAGGGTTTCGCTCTGGAAGGCGTGACGTTCCCACTCCAAAAATCAACGGACATCCTGGGATCTCAGTGTTTGGTTTCCCGTGGAAGGTTTCTCATGGACGGGCCTCCATTTTAAGGGATCTTGCATTTCAGGAGGGGAATGAAACACAGACACAATGAATCGTCGATCCCACAGAAATCTGGGAAAACATGGGAAGTGGGGGGGGGAAGACGAAAACCCCGAAAGCATGGGAAATTAGGCGGAATCCTGTTACTGGTGTCTATTTCTTTGCGTGTCCCAGGGCCCCTCCTCCCTCCTCCTCCTCCTCCTCCTCCTCCTCCTCCTCCTCCTCCTCCTCCTCCTCCTCCTCCTCCTCCTCCTCCTCCCTTCCGTATGGCTCTGGCCCGGGACTCGCTGGCCACGGTGCGCCTCGCTGGCCACTCCTCGGAGCCGACGCCTCGCGGGCCACGGTGCGCGCCGCGGCGCGCGGCGCGGGAGGCCTCGAGCCGGCCGCGCGTGGGCGTGGCCCTTCGTCGGGAGCCTTGAGACGGGGGTCAATGCAAACGGGGGTCAGCCAGGGCACCAGATCCTTCAGGATCCTGCGAGGACTCCCTCTGGCTGACCCGGGTTAGCGAGCCGCTCGAGGCCGCGAGGCGGCCGCGCACAGTGGCCGACCCGGATTTGCGAAGATCTGCATTGCAGTTGTTTTTCCTGCATTGCAGTTTTTGGTTTCCTGTTGACCCGGGTTTGGATTGGCCCGGGTCAGAAGATTCCCGGCCTTGCGTCAAGCAGTGGCGAAGCGTCCTGGCGTGCCTATAGTCCGACCAAACAATGGTATAAGAACCTTTTGTGGTTCCCACGAAATGTTCTCAGAACCTTTCTGGCGGAGTCTGTTTTGTTTTATCACATCGGGCTTATGTTCTAAGAACATGGTTTTTGTTATTCATACATGTTTGGGTTCTAAGAACATTTCGTGGTAGGACTATAGGAATGCCGGGACGGTCGGTCCCTGCTCAACTTTGGTGCAAGCCCACAGGTTCGGGGGTTCGTTTTTGGGGGGGTCCCAAGGTGGGGTCGAACATACTCAGCTGGATATTCACACTCCCTTCTTCCACGGGCCGTTCGGAGCGATTTTGCTCTAGTTCCACCTCCTCTGCCCCTACCCCACCTTTTCACGTCCCCTCGACAGAAGTCCTGGCAGCACTGGCTGGCTCTAGGCCTCCCAGATGGGGTCCGAGCAGATGGGGTCGGAGGATCGCGCCGCATCGGCGATGCATTACCGATGCGTCTCGATGTGGAGCCAAATTTTCGCCACGCCGATGGCGCCGATGCATCGCCGACGTCGCTGGTGTATCGCCGATGCATCGGCGATGCCTGAGTTCTTGGTCATCCAAAGTTTTCGAGCTGGGCGTGTTCTCCAGGTTTCGGGCCTGGGGACCCTCACAGATGGAACCGGCCCGAAAGAAGGCGCGGAAAGATGGTGTCCGGTGCTCTGGCTGCGATTCTATAGGCTTACGCCACATCCGCCAACCCCTATAGAAACTACTGCGCCTCCAGGGCTGCATTTCACGAGGCTTGTCCGAATCGTGACACGGCGCTCGACGTCTTTCTTGTTGCTTCGTTGTTGTTATCGTACCTGTTGGTGCTCTGGTGCTCTGGCTGTGATTTTTCCAGGTGTTCCAGGGCTTGGTGGCGTCGGATTTCAGGGGGGGGGGCTCCAGCCGCTTGGATCGCGTTGGATGTGGCTTCCCCCGCGGCCCCCTGAAGCCGCGCACCAAAGGTCACCCTGCCCAGAGGTAAGTCGGGCCTGTCCCTCTACAGGAGGAAAATTCACAAATAGTCAAAAAATAGTTTTGGGACGATTTTTCCATTATTTTTGAGCATCTTTTTTTCGTTCAAGATCCGCCTGTAGGGGGACACGCCCGACATAAGCCTAGAGCCTAGAGTCTCCCTCAGGGAGGGGTTGGGGATAGTCCTGGGAGGGCACAGCGTGGTTTTCCCTCCGAGCCCCTCTAGTGTTTTTTTGGGGGGGTGCAAAGAGGTCTTTCCCTGGACCCCGAGGCATCCGCGGAGGTCCGCGGCCCATTCCCGGGGACTGGCTTTATGTCCTGAATATTTGTTCGACGGTCCCAGGGCTGGCGATGGCCCCCAGAGGCAAAAAACTACAACAACAATCATTTTAAGACTGTTCGCCCCTATCTGCTCGCGTGCCAATCAAGACGTATATTACAAGCCTTCGGTGCCCGCCCTGTTCGCCTTCGATCGTTCCCCTGTGCGGATCTATCTTCCTTACCTGCCACGTGTATTCAGCGCAGCCCCTACAACAGGGGAAGAGAGGACGGATGGAAGGGGGTGAGAGACGAATGGAGTTCGAGAGAGATTAGCAGGGGGGGGGCGAGGAGCAGAAAACACGTGGCAGAACAAGACAGGCAGATCGGGCGGGTAGACCCTAACATGCGGGTCGAGAAGACGGGCCCAGGCGGCCAGGTCGAACAGACGGGTTGCTGAAGCGTGGGTCATGCTTGAATCGCGAGGAAGTCTCGAGCGATAACGCGATGCCCCAGTATATCGTGAGAACGACCAGAGCGAGAGCGTGTTTCCTGAGTGTCCAGGGCGCGGCGTTTGAATGCATTGCGAGGAGGTCCTACGCGAGAGCGCGATTCCTACATGAATTGCGAGGAAGTCCCGCGCGAGAGCGGGAGCCGCTGTTGCAATACATTGGGGGCCAACAACACACTTTGAGCCCCACGATTTTCCCTTACGACACATAGGGAGCGAGCCCTGGGAGGAGCATTTCAATCGAAAGACACTAGGCGCCAGGGGGGTCAACAATATTTAATCTTCAGGCATAAGAATTCAAGATCAACAACAACACAGACGTTGTATTTTCTCATGCCGCGAAAGGGTCTGGGCTCCTCCTCTCCCGAGGAGGCGAAACAGGAGGAGGAGGATCGAGGGTCGAGGGTCGAGGGTCGATGAGCAGGATCGAGGCTCCCGATCCTTCCCACAGGATCGAGGCTCCCGATCCTTCCCACGGCAGAGGTCAGCTTCTGCGCGGAGGAGGCGGACAGGCGCACGATCATGCGGCACGTCCACGCCTGCCTGGCCGCGCCGCAGTCCTCCGAGTGGCGGCAGGTGTACTTGGGCCTGCAGGTCCTCGAGCAGCTCTTCAGCAAGGGCCCGCCGGAGCTCGTGACCGAGGCGGGAGAGGGAACGAGGTAGGGAGGAAGAAGGAGGAGGAGGAGGGAAGGTGGGAGGGAGGGAGGGAGGGAGGGAGGGAGGGAGGAGGAGGAGGAGGAGGAGGGGGGGAAGGAGGAGGAGGCGGAGAAGGAGGAGGAGGAGGAGGAAAAAGAGGATGAGGGAGAGGAAGAGGAAAAAAAGGAGGAGGATGCCGAGAAGGAGGAGGATGAGGAGGAGGGGCAGAGGAGGAAGAGGAGAAGGGGAGGAGGATGGGGGGAGGAGAGGAGAGGGGGGAGGAGGAGGAGGGGGGGAGGAAGAAGGAGGAGGAGGAGGAGGAGGAGGAGGATGAAGACAAGCTAGGTGCGGTCGCGTCATATCTGACCTTCTACCCCTCCCTCCCATCCCTTACCATGGCGTAGATATCTTCTCTATTCGCACACTCGGATGTCGTAGCATGGCGTAGCATTACATGGCATAGCATGGTGTTGAATGTCAACGCGTAGCATGACATAGCATGGCGTGGCGACGCCCCAAAGTGGAGGGCTTCTGCGGCCCAAAAAATTAACGAATCGACGCCGAATGTGTAATCACTTCCGATGGTTTCGTCGGGAGGTCATTTTTCACATTTTGGGGCTTATTCGGAAGGACCGAAAACCATGCCGTGACATGGCGCTGAAAATGATGACGCCAGCGCTGCAGCGGGAGCACGATTCGGAACGAGCGGAAGCGCGGAAATGAGGCCAGCGCTGTAGCGGGAGCACGATTCGGAGGACGCGGAGCCTAACATAGCATGGCGTGGCGACGCCCCAAAGTGGGGGGAGGGACTGCTGCGACCCAAACATTAAAGAATCGGTACCGAATGTGTAATCACTTCTGATGGTTTTTTCGGGGGGCATGTTCTAGATGTTAGGGGCTTATTTGGAAGGACCGAAAACCATGCCGTGACATTAATGACGCCAGCGTTGCAGCGGGAGCATTATTCGGAACGAGCGGAAGCGCAGAAATGAGGCCAGCGCTGCAGCGGGAGCACGATTCGGAACGAGCGGTGGCCCGAAAATGAAGCCAGCGCCTCAGCGAGAGCAGCATTTTGAAACAAAAGAGAAAACGTTTCCCGGGAATCCGGTGTGTTAAACCAGTACGCGGAGGAGGGGCGGCCATTTCCCGGACGTCACCAGGGGAGGGAGGAGAGTAGTATTCATATTGTGTTATTGTGGAGGAGGAAGGAGGCAGGAGGAGCAGGGAGGAGGAGGAGGAGGAGGGAGCAGGACCGAAGTGGAGAGAGGGAGGAAGGAGGAGGAGTGAGGAAGAGGCAAGGAAGGAGGGATGTGGAGGGGGTGAGCAGAAGGGCGGGATCAGCAGGGAGGAGGGAGGAGGAAGAGGATGAGGGAGGAGGAGGCGGAGGAAGAGGAGGAGGAGCAGGAGCAGGAGACGGAGGAGGAGGAGTATCCAGGCAGCGACGGGTGGTCACTTTGACGTGGTGCAGCGCTTGTCGTTCCTCGAGAAGTACGAAATGGGCACCGCTTGCCGTCTTCGCCGCCGCCGCCGACGTTGTGGTCGTCGTCGAGCACGGGGGATGACAAGAAAGGAAGGCGGCGGACGAGGAGGAGGAGGTCGGGCGGGCGGGCGGGCGAGCGAGAAAGAGAGAGAGAGAGAGAGAAAAAAAAAAGAGAGAGAGAGGGAGGGAGCGAGAGAGAAAGGGAGAGATAGAGATGGAGAGAGAGAAAGGGGAAAGGAGGAAGAGGAGGATCAGAGTAAGTTCTTAACGCTTGATCTTTACGCTTCGTGTATCCCCACCGCGCCAGCCCATCCAGGAGCGGTGCTTGGGGGAGCTACCCTTGTCGGGGGAGTGCGGCATCGTGTAGAGAGGAGTCGCTTAGGATGCTTCCTGGGGCGGCTCTCTGAGGTGGTCTGTGGGGGCCTCTTGGGGGCTCTTGGGGCCTCTTGGGGGTCTTACTTGGGCCCTCCTGGAAGTCGTGGAGGCCTGCTCGGGGCCATCTTATCTTAAGTACGGCTGCCCCTCCCTAGACCCCGTAAAACCGGCTCCCGGAGCCTTCTTGGAGCGCTCTTGGGGCTCGTGGGGCCGTCTTGGAGTATTCGTGGGCACCTCTTGGGGCTCCCTTGGGCCCTCTTGGAGCCAGCTCAAGGACTCGGAAGGCCACTGGAAGCGAAAAGGCGAGACGGCGAACACCATCGATGTCCTTCAGATGTTCGAAGGATTTGCGTCAGGAGGGGAAAAAACACACAGGCACAATAAATCGTCGACTCCCAGGAAAATATGGAAGACGATGGGGAGTGGGGGTGTATGAATTTATGTGTGTGTGTGTCCCTGGGTCCCTTTATGTGTGTCTGTCGAGTGTGCGCGGCGCCGTTGCGAAAGCCGCAGTGTGGAAACCATTCGCCCGCCACCCGTGTTCGTCTTACAAGCTTGAAGCTGCAGGATTGTAGATTTCCAGGAGGTCCTCGGCGAGGGGTTATCTGGAAGGGGCGGGTGAGGAGGAGGAAGAGGACGAGGAAGAAGTCGAGGAGGAGAGAGTTGGGACTCCTCGCAGGAGGGAGAGGGAGGAGGAGGAGGAGGAGGAGGAGGAGGAGGAGGAGGAGGAGGAGGAGGAGGGAGGGAGGACCAGAATGCACCCAACATGCATGAACGATGCTGCAGTACACGCTCCCGTCGCAAGCCTCCGCCCCACAAATCCGTCAAAGCAGCTCGCTTGACTGCGGGAAGAGCGCCCGTGGAAGACCGGCACCACTTGGGCCTGCCATGCAGGCGACGGCCCCGTTTCGACAAGGAGATGCTGCACCCTTCCAGCGGGTGGCACGGAAGTCTAGCAGTGTGCTCATGCAGTTCAAGGAGATGGCCAGCGATAAGTCCGCTTTACGAGCCGTCCCCATCTTCGCAAGAGTTGCATGAGATCGCCCCCCTTCTGCTCGCGAATTTCGAGGACGTCCCAAGCGAGAGCCCCAATCCTGACAAGTAGCCACCCCTATCCGCGCAGCTGCTACAGCTGGGCAAGCTTATGTTCTTCAAGCCCGAGGGAGTCTCAAGGGAAAGCCCAACTTTGAAATGGAGCTGGCCTCCATCTTTCCTTCAGTGTTGTAAGCCTGTAAACTTGTAGGGCGATCGTCTCAGTTTGAGAAAACGCCGCACACCATCCTTGTAACTGCTCACATTCTTCAACACGAATGTGCGCGGTTCTGATGCGAGAGCACGACTTCGTGACGCTTCGCGCATCCCCACCAGCATCCAGACGCAGATCGCCAGGCGAGTTGTTTTGATCAGGGAAGTATAGAAGAGTGCATTGCAACAACCGCCTTGGAAGCGTCTTCTCGGAGGTCTCTTGGAGCCATCTTGGGGCTCTCTTCGGGTCCTCGCGGAGCCTCTTGGGGCACTCTTGAGGCCAGCTTGGGGCTCTCTTGGGACCCTCTTGGGGCTCGATAGGGGGGTCTGGGAGGGCTCTTGGGGCCATCTTGGCCCCGATGGCTCAAAAGGGGGTGGGATTATTTTACCCCTGTTTGGGGGCCCCCTTGGGGCCTTCTTGGGGCTCTCCTGGGCCGTCTTGGAGCCATCATGACGCCTCAAAAGCCAATCGGCAGCGAAAAGGCGAGAAAGGAAACAGCATTGTTTTCTTCCCTGGGTGTTTGAAGGATTGTGGCCTCCTGGAGGGTTCGGAGGGCCCGGAGGGCCCTGGGAACCGCCTTGGGGCTGTTTTGGGGCGTCTTGGAGATATGTCGGAGACTTTAGTGAGCAATGTTGAAGCATCTCGGGCAGTCTTGGAGGCCATCTTGGGTTTCCGGAGGCCCTCTTGAAGGCATCTGGGACCGAAAAGCACCCTCTGACACCTCGCGCGGGGCTCCGTCCAAAACCAGGGGAGGGGGTAGGGGTAGGGGTCAAGACTCCCGCCCCGCCCGCAAGCCGTCTCGCTCACTCCCACCCGCCCTCCCAACATATACGTAGCACCCGAGTCTGGCCCGAGCCTCAGCATGTTCAGCAGTCGTCTTTGGATGGGGAGCTACTGGGGGCCAATCCGCCGCCGCCGCCGCCGCGTCCGCCGCAGCCTCCGACGCCGCCGCAACCGCCGCCGCCGCCGCCGCCGCCGCCGCCGCCGCCGCTGCCCGCCGCCGCCGCCTCCGCGCCGTCGCCGCCGCCGCCGCCACCGCCGTCGCCGCCGCGCCGCCGCCGCCGCCACCACCGCCGCCGCAGCCGCCGCAGCCGTCGCCGCCGCCACCGCCCGCAGCCGCCGCCGCCGCCAAGTGTACTCTGTACTGTTCGTTGACAGCGATGGTGGGGGTGAGGCCGCATCGGGTTGGCTGCGCATGCTCCGAATTTGGCTGCAGAGTGTTTTTATATATATATATATATATATATATATATATATATATATATATATATATATATATATATATATATATATATTATTTATTTACATACATATGTATATATATATATACACACATATAAAAGGAATGGTGGGGCGGTGCCCTCATGGTTCACGGCTGGCTACCAGTCGTCTGGGGGAGGCGGTGCGTATTAATAGGGATTAGTGATCAAGACAGCCCCAATATTGCCAGCCGTGTAGCTCACTCCCACCCGCCCACACAACACGACAGTAACACCCGGGCCTCGGCATATTGAGCTGTCGTCTTTGGATGGACAGCTACTGGGTGCCAAAACCGACCCCATGCGCGCGACGCTGGGGCGAGGTGCGCCACGCGTGGCAGGCGCGCCACGTGCTCCGCGTGCGCCAGGTGTGCCACATACTCCAGCCGCGCCACGTGCGCCACTTTCGGGAAACGTGCAGAGTGGGTCATGTGCGCCTGCGCACGTGACAGCATACATCGGGAGACATGTCAGGCCCCACCATCCTTGTCGAAAAGCAATGCCCATCATTGTGTCTGGTGGGCCTGCGCATAGCAGGCCATGCGCCACCACCCCCGCCGTCCCTGCCAAAAACCACTTGACAGTGATCGCGGGTTGGCCGCGCACGATCCGGATTTAGCCGCGATATGCATGTTGGATTGTTTTTGATAGGGATGGTAACCCTACGCGCAGCAGGCAGTATGCTGACACCCCCGCCGTCCCTATCAAAAACAATACAAAGTGTTCACGGGCCTCACGAACATGATTCAAGACGTTGCCCCAAAGGGTATTTTGTATTGTTTTTTGACAGGGATGGTGGGGGGGCGCATCGGGTTGGCCGCGCACGCTTCAAATGTGGAGGCTCAGTGCGTTTTGTAGTGTCTTTTGACAGGGATGATGGGTGTGTGCCCGCATGGTGCCCTCATGGTTCCTGATTGGCTGCCGGTCGCCTGGGGGAGGGGGTGCATACTAATAGGGAACAGTGGTAAACTTTCCCCGGAGCAGGAGAAGAATGGATGATAGAAGAAAGAAGACATAGCTCGTTAAACCACCTTCTACCAGAGGGTTGGTGGACTCATAGACGCTTCGCGTATCCCCACCAGCCCATCCAGACACGATGCCCAGGCGAGTTGAAGACGACGGCGCCAACGACGAACCAGCCGTAAAAGCATTCGCAGAAGTTTCACTCCGCGAGCCTTTTGGAAGCCTGTTTGATGCCTCTTGAAGGCCTATTAGAGTCATTTTCGCCAAATTTGGGGCCCTCTTGGGGTCCTCTAGGAAAGGTCGTGGGCTCCTTCGTTCAAAAAAGGGGAGGGGGGGGGACTCGGCCCCCCCTTTCCGAGGTTGAATTGTTTTTCGGAGCGCTCGTGGGCGCCTCTTGAATGCTTTTTGGAGCCACCTTGGGGTTCTTGGGTTTCTCATGGGGCTCTCTTGAGCCAGAGTAGGACCATCTTCAGGGCGGACAAGTCCATTGGAAGCGAAACGGCGAGAAAGCAGCAAAGTTAGCTTTCCGCACGCCTCAATGTTTCAAGGATGTTGGCCTCTTGGGAGGAATCTTGGGAGACTGCAAAAGCACTTGGAACCGTCGTGTGGCTGTCTGGGAATGTCATGGAGATATGTTGAAGACCAAATTGGGCCATGTGTATCGTGCGCCATCTTGGAAGTAATCTTGGGGCGTCCGGGGCCTTTTTGGGGTCATCTTGGGCAATCTTGAAGGCCCCGATGGGTCCGGCACCCACCGTCCAGACTCAGGGGGAAAGTCGAGATCTAAAATTCTCCCCGGATAGGGGGATAGGGGAAAGGGAAGTTGGAAGAGGAACTTTAAGGGTAGCTCTTTGGGAGATGTTACAGTATCGGGAGCATAGTTCGCGCGCCGTTGCCTTTGGCCCAAGGCACGCGCGCCCTATTTGCCCGGACACCGCGAGTGTTCGCTATGTGCTGGAAAGATCATTACATCGATCTTATCCTATCTTATCCATCCACCCCTCATACTGTACCTTCACAGCAGAGCGATGGATGCAATTTGCCAGGCTATATGCCATATTTGAGCTACCAGGCTCACTTTCGACTTGGTAGCGGAGCTGGCCGCACTCTCGTGTGGTCAGCTCTTGCTCTTCTTAGCCTCATATTCTTCGGCACGATCTTCGTGACCACCTACCA